CCAGTTACTGGTGGTTATTTGCCCACAGTCACATGCCTAGGACTAGGCGCCAAGTGAGACTATGTGGTAACACTTTTGCATACAACCTTGAAGTAGTTGCTGAGGTGCTGGTAAGAGTGGGTTAAGGAACTCTGGGTATATACACACACACATGTTTTTTTTGGGGGGGGGTAATGGGGGTTGATTGTGGGGCTTGAACTCTGGGCCTGGGCACTGTCCTTGAGTTCTTCAGCTCAAGACCAGCGCTCTACCACTTGAACCACAACACCACTTCCAGTTTTCTCGTGGTTCCTTGGTGATAAGTCTCACAGACTTTCTTGCTCAGGCTGGCTTTGAACAGGGATTCTCAGATCTCAGCCTCCTGAGTAGCTAGGATGACATGCCTGAGTCACAGTGCTCAGTTCGTGTGTGTGTGTGTGTGTGTGCGCGTGTGTGCGCGTGTGCGCGCGCATGCATGCGTGCCCGTGTGCCTGTGTGCCCGTCCTGAGGCTTTAGCTTTTACTTTTGTGCTCAAGGTTAGTGCTCTCACACTTGAGCGACAGCTCTGTTTCCTGCTGTCTGTGTTCCTTTTGAATCGTGACGCTCAGATCTTAATCTCCTGAGTAGCTACCATTACAGGTGTGAACCACCAGCGCCCAGCTTGTTTTCATTTTGATGAAGTACATTTTGTCTGTTTCTGATTTTGTTGTTTGTGCTTTAGTTGTCGTCCGTTGCTGAGGCCAGCCTGAAAGTCCAGATCCTCCACCCTGAGCCTTCCTAATGTTGGGACTATAGGCATATAGCACCATGCCCTGCTTTAAAAAAAATTTTTTTTTGGTCAGTGTGGGGCCTGAACTCTAGGCCTTGAGCGCTGTCCCTCAGCTCTTCAGCTCAAGGCTAGCGCTCTACCACTTGAGCCACAGCGCCACTTCCGGCTTTTTCTGCTTATGTGGCACTGAGGAATCGAACCCAGGGCCTCATTCATGCAAGGCAAGCATTCTACCACTGAGCCACCTTCCCAGCCCCCAGTACAGGAATTTGAACTCATGCTTGCCTGAGAGGCCCTCAACTACTCAGTCACCTCTTTGGCTTTATTTTTCAGATAAGGGCTCATATTTTGGTCTAGAACCCTCCCCGCATACCTGGAATGCTATGCATGCATGAATTATCTATTGAGATTCCTGCAGCCTTGATCCTCCTTGATGTCCACCTCCCAAATACCTGGGATTACTGGTGTGTGGTACTGTGCAACAACTCTTAAGCGATTTTCCATCCCCCCCCCCCCCCCCCCCGCTTCTTTACCCTTCGGATTGAATCCTGGGTTTTGTGTGTGCTGGGCACCCTACCAGCCCTGGAGTGACTTTTTATCAGAGTAAGTGACTTGGGGGCCAGATAAGTCAGAGCCTGAGTTACTCAGAGTTAATTTTGGTGGCTCCTTGCTTCTACTTGTCTATGGGAAGCCCGGAGCGGATGCGTGGTGCAGCCTACAGTAGGCAGATAAGATCCCAAGAGTCTCCTCTCTCCGGAGGAAATCTTTGATGTGACCACAGAGTCCAGGGTTGAACACTGTTGCCCAGTGGGGGTCTCTACCAGGCTGCCCCCCCCCCGCCATACTCAGTGGCAGAATCTTCCGTTGAGTTCATTGGTTTTGCTAGAAACTTCAAGATTTGGGGCATTTATCTTCCTCCAACCCTAATTGGCCCTAACAGCTGTAAACTCATAATCCAGTGGCATCGTGGACAGACCAGTTCTGAGATTTTGTGGCTGGTGAAGGGCAGGATTAAGGGTAGCACTGTTTGCCTCTGTCTTTTCACTTAAAGCTCTGATAGTCACATAGCTCCCGAGCTCTGATAGTCATATAGCTTGGTCATTTTACCTGGCTCTTCCTAATCAACCTGTTTGTTGTTGTTTTTTGTTGTTGTTGTTGGTGGTGGTGGTGGTTGTGGGGCTTGAACTCTGGGCCTGGGCATTGTCCATGAGCTCTTCAGCTCAAGGCCAGCGATCTACCCCTTGAGCCACAGCACCACTTCCGGTTTTCACTGACTTTCCTGCCCAGGCTGGCTTTGAACCACAATCCTCAGATCTCAGCCTCCTGAGTAGCTAGGATGACTGGTGTGAGCCACCT